TGGCAGAGGCTGAGCCTGAGCCTTTGACACGCACTCTAGCTATTCACCAGTTACTTAGCTAGCTTAGCTCTCCAGAGCAAAGCTACTAGCTAGTAAGCTTATTTGATACACGCTAGCAATGATGCAGCTGTAAGCATTACAGCAGCTGCTGAGCTTTACTTTGGAAAAAAAAAGAGGCTCTAGACATTTCAGAGCACTAGGTTCTTGTGCACAGAGACGCCATCAAGGGCAGCAAGTGGCCCATCATACCTATGGCAGCCTCATCATCAGGGGGTCCTTCGTACAGCAGCTCGCAGCGGTATTTCTGGGCTGTGACAGGAGAAGGCAGGTGAATGGTGATCATCTGCAGCAGGGCATCTCCAGCAGGCAGCCAGCGCCTCATCACAGCCTGAGCAGGGATCAGAGGGGTAAGAGCTGGGCAGACGGTCAGAACCTAACCCTTAACTGTCCCTTTATCACCCCACGCTCCAAATTACAGGCAGCAGCTTTCTACGCGAGCACGTTTCACAGCTGCTTGAGAAGGCTACACAGTTTGAGCAGCCCAATTGGTGGTCTCCTCCCCATAGACGATTCAGATGAATCTCACCTTCAGCAGGGGTTTGCCCTCTTTGTCCTTGTCTTCACTATCAAGCTTTATGTCCAGTTTCTCAATCAGTTTAGCAGCCTCCTCTTTCTTGAAGTTCATGATTGCGTCAAAAACCTGTCACAGAGCAGGTCAAAAATATCTCATATGACCCATCTTGTAGCAGAAGCAACACAAGTCTAAAGAATCTGCATTCTTGCCCATAACCCAGCTGAATCTACATGGGGTCTTAGACACGCACTTGCTTTTACCTATAGCAACTACCAACTTCAACAGGGCAGTGAGCTAAGCTTGTGTCAGATACTCAAATTTCTTCAAGCAAGTTAGTCAGGTCAAAGTGAAGAAATTTTCCATCATCACGCACTAATAAGACAGTGAAAGAAACCAGTGAAAACTGAGTTTTGAGGAAGTCACCTTGAAGATGGGGTCAAGGATGAGCTGGCAGAAAGTCCGGGGCAGTTTCTTTCCATCAGGGCTGGTGGCAGATTTACTGAACTTGCCAGTAGCAGGATCAAAATACCTGGAGCAACAATTAAGTCAGACAGGCACCCACACCCAGTTCACCACAGAAGAACAGCTCCTTCTGCTTAGCTCAGGATAGAGCAAATCACCATTGACCACAAAGTTTTCAGACCTTTCCATCACTCCCAAACTTTTAGAACAGAGCAAAACGCATTTGCTCATGTTGTAAATTAATCCCCCCACACCTATTTATTTTCCCTCCCCTTTTAACAAGTACTTCATGGAAAATGCTGCTTTCTGGGCCAAAACCAGTACAGGGACCAACCAAACCGTACAGATAGGTAAAGCCACACAGACACAACCACCTCCTCCCTCCTTACTTATCTACAAGCTTGGGTTACAACCATATAGTGCTGTTCTGGAATTACAATTAGTCACAATTACTCACCTGTCTCCCCACAGCTTCTTCATCATGTCCTCAACTTTCTTGGCACGCTCTGCTGGATTCAGCTGAGCCTCACCCTTGGCAGCAAACTTTGCAACGTACATCTCAGCAAATTGTTTCAGAGTGAAAGCCCAGCCATGCAGGCCAGAACCAAAGCCAACGGTACCAAGCACTGGATCAATCTGAAAAGGAACAGGAGAGCGGTGTGATGTAGGAACAGCAACCGCTCCCACTGTCACGTACTCTTACAGGTAGGAAACCCCACACAGGCTGCAGCAGTCAAGCCTTGCCTTCCACAAGCTGTGCTCAGTGGGGCTCCACAAGGAAAAGGCTCTGGAGATGGAACTTCAGCGCTACAGGACCTGTGACCAGTTCTCCTTCAACAGCCAGGCGCACGCACACGCTTTTCATTTTGCAACACAGGACAAAGTTCTGTCACTTTAACCAACTATCCCCTAGACAACCCAGCAACAGCAGGTAACGCTTTTTGTTAAGAGTTATCACCACCTTTTCCTCGGGGCCAGCCACCACACTCACCACTCAGGAAGTCGTGAGAGCAGGACTGACAATTTGCAGCACAAAAGAATTTAAACACTTACTGCACTTTCATTTCCAAACACACCTGGGGAAGTTACGCTGAGCAAGAGTCAAGAAGCTCATGTCACCTAACATCACAAGTGTTATGTGGGCAAGAAAGCGTCCTACAACACAAGGACACTCCTCTTCCTGGGGGAGGATGCTTTCCTGTATTTAGTCTTCTTTTTGCTGAAGTCCTACACTAATACAAGGGTTAGAAGGAGAACTAGCAAGAGCTCCAAAACAGTGTAAACAAGGATAGCTCAGGGGGGTTTCACCAGATTATTCCAGTCACTTTTCCATTTGAGAAAGAGAAAAAAAAATGTTGAAAAGCTACAACTCCTTCTCGCTCATGACCTCCTTCAAACACAGTGCTCACAGTCTCCTGCTTACCATGATATTTCCCATGGGACCACTTTCTCCTTCTCCGTACGTGGAGATGATGACGTTCACATTTTCCACAATGCGCTGGAAGGTCTGGTAGAGCTCCTCGGGGTCCAGCTGCAGCTCCAGCAGCGCTCGGTCCATCTTGTTCATCATGAGAACAGGCTTGATCCTCTCGGCAATGGCCTGACGCAACACGGTCTCTGTCTGCACACATACACCTGTCAAAAAAAAAAAAAAAAAAGGCAGAAATGGTTATCACCGATTTGGGACTTTTTTTGATTTGGAAAGAAAACTCCAGCAGCACTTTGTTGACAAAAACCTTACCAGAGACACAGTCTACCACAACCAGGGCGCCGTCAGTAACACGAAGAGCAGCAGTGACCTCCGAAGAGAAGTCCACGTGCCCGGGAGAATCAATCAGGTTGATCAAGAAACCAGAACCATCCTTGCTTTGCTTGATGAAGGCCAAATCGTTTTCAGAGAGCTCGTAGAATAAAGAGATAGCTCTGAAATAAAAGAAAAATGAGTAAGAGGAATGATCTACTCTTTATTGTCCATGGTCCTGAAAAATGAAAGGGTCAGTCAGAACCTGCAGAAACAGCTATGTGAGGGTTAGAGATTCCCTGTGCAGATTCCTGGCACATCAGTGCTGCAGCTGCTTATAAATCAGAGCTAAAAACCAGCACAGCTTTTACTTTTTTGAAGCCATAACCTCTTAGAGCTCCACAGGGCACACAGGTCCTTCTGGTCCAGCTTTTAAGCAGGCTGCCCCCTCACAGCAGTCTCAGGACTGAGCCTGAGGGGCCCCTGTGAGCTTCAGTCACATCAACCCAAACCAGCACTAAAATGGCAGGCTGAGCACGTCAGCTCCCGGCAGCCAGCAAGGCAGCGCTCTGTGATTCACTGCAAGCAAATCAATATTCGCTTTCCCGTTTAAGCACTCCTGGCAATGAGATACAAGTTTCGGAGCCAGCCCAATAGGTTTCTTCTTTCATCTCACAATCAAAACCAGGTCTAGAGCTCGAGGCGTTCCCGAGGTCACACCATGCACGATGGTGCTCAGAGGAAGGGCACTCACGTTGACTTGATAGTGATGCACCGTTCCTGCTCGTCTTTTCTTGTGTCGGTGAAACGGGTCTCCCCCGCACGGGCAGACGCGATGATCCCGGCTTTGCACACCAGGGAGTCAGTCAAGGTTGACTTGCCGTGATCAACGTGGGCAATCACGGACATGTTTCTGATGTTGGCCTTTTTGTCCATAATGGCCCGTATCTGGTCTACTGTGAAGTTCACCTTGAGGGGAGAAAAGCCGGCGGGAAAAGGAATGAAAACGCAGCGGATATAAAAACAGCTGGACCAACTGACAACGACAGCATTGGGCAAAGCTCAGCGGGACCGAGACACGAGCGCTGCGCGCGCAGGCAGCGGTGCTGACAGCGTGCAGGAAGGGCTGCGGGGACACTGCAGGCACCGACATTTCTGCCAGCAGCGGGGTCGGGGCC